ATATGGCAACAATTGTGAGGTTAGCCCAGGACCAGGCAGTGTTTTGTTCTGTTGTGCATAGGGTTACTATGAGTTGGTAAGGACTCGATGGCCCTTAACAACAACAACTTCCTTTATAAACCCCACAATTGTGGGGAAAAAAAAGATACCAGGTTGAGGTTATGTTGGTCACTATTGCACATTATTGGAGTCCTGTTGTGGCTACAGGATAAAGCACTGGACTGAAAGGTTGGTTTTAACAGCAAGATTCACTGGTTCAAACTCATCAGCCACTCCAAGATCAGTGGTTCAAACTCATCAGCCACTCCTTGGAAACCCTATACTGAGTCGCTATGAATCGGAACCAACTCGACAGCACTTAACTACAACTGCACATGGCTGGTGGACTAGATCTAATTGTAGTTAGTTCCATGACCCCAGTCTCTTATTTTCCTAGTTAAACAGGAAGCTGGCGATTTGCATAATGGAAAAGTTTAGCAAAAGAAGTTATTTTTTATTTAACATTGCAAAAATGGCAGCTAATTTGCAGGCCTCACAATTAATGGCATGAAATAACTGTGTATGAACTGTTTGTATGGAAAATGGATCTGCTCTGTAAACCTTCACCCAGTTCACAGGTGTTTGTTGTTAGTGGGTTCAAACTCATCGTGACCCTGTGAGTATAAGGTTTATAAGGATCAGTGATGGGCTTGAACTGCTGACTTTGTTATTAGCAGTCCAGTGCTTGTCCTATAGCACCACACCAGGACCCCAATTCACAATAAAAAAACACCCTACCACATGCAGATGTTACAAAGTTGCTTGATGAATGTGAAGTACTGCTGGAATCCTTCTTGGCTGTGAGGATAGTGACTTCATCTCATGTACTTTGGACACAGTCTTAGGAGGAACCAGTCCCTGGAGGACATCATACTTCGTAGAGGGTCAACAAGAATGAAGAAGACCCTCAAGGGGATGGGCTGACACAGTAGTGCAACAGTGGGCTCAAACAGTAACAGTACTGACAATGCAGGACTGGGCAGTGATTCCTTCTGGTGTACATACAGTCAATGAGTCAGAACTGACTGCATTGCATCCAAACAATCTTTGTGGGAGCAGATAACCCCAATGTTCTGATGTACGAGTGTTGGGTGGATTCTAACCTCCAAGCTTCATGTTAGCAGCTGCACTGTTCCATCCCCTGGGATGTGGCACTGTAGGATAAACACCAGACTGCTAACCACAAGGTTTTTGTTTCAAACTCCACCCAAACCCTATTCAGGGTGGCTATGAGTTGGAACCAATTCTATGGCACTTAAATCAATTCAGACTTAATAGAGACTCTATAGACAGAATAAAACTGCTCCATAGAGTTTCCAAAACGGCGAATCTAACTGGAGCAGAGAGTCTCAGCTTTCTCCATGACAAACTAGTGCGTTTTTGGGCCCAAGGCTTAACCCACAAAATACAAAGCAAAGGGCTGGAGAAAGAGCTTTTGTTTATTTACAGCTTTAACTCCGTTAACTCAAAATACATAAACTGTTCAGAGTCTCGGGGAGTCCTGGTCCGGTGGTTTCTAGCAGGCTGGAGCAGCTTGTACGTGTTCCGCGAGGCTCCACAGAGGGGTGCAGCGGGGTCTCAGGATCAGGCTCTGGCTTAGGGCTAAAAGCAGTTGTAGTTGTTGTTGTTAAGTGCTGTCGAGTCATTTCCGACCCACAGCGACCCTGTATAGGGTTTCCAAGGAACGGCTGATGAGTGAACCACCGACCTTGCATTTCCAACAGACTTTACAGTCCAGTGACATGTGGGTTAATGTCTGGACTGCGAAGTCGGTTTGAACCACAAGGTCGGTGGCTCAAGCTCACCAGTCCCTCCTCAGTAACCTTATACAGGGTCGCTGTGGGTCGGAACCGACTCGACGGCACTTAACAAGCATATCCTAGAGCTACACCCAGATTCCATAGTTAAGTGCAGGCTGATGTTAAGCGTAGCCTCGGGTTGGGGCACCACTTCCGGGCGGGCTTCAGGTCAGGAAGGGGCGGAGCTCCAGCCACACGCGTCTCTTCCAAGCCAATGCCATGGCTTGGGGGCGGTGCGGTGCGGGCGGTGCTGCGTGGTCCTCCGGCCGCGGAAGGCGCTGTAGAGGTGTTGTCTGGGTCTCGGGCTCCGGAAGCGAGCACAGGTGAAGGTTCAGGGAAAACACACGTGCGGCCGCCGAGATGAAGTTTGCGTACCGGGTAAGTGCTGCGGGACTGTGACTAGCTTGGGCGGTGGTCACGACGGGCACCGGAAGTAGAGAGGTCCAGGCCCATCTTCCCTCTGGGTCCGCTGGCCGCCTGGAGTCCTGAGTGAGGCGCGGGGTCCCGGCTTTACAGGGGGGAGGGCGCCAGTGTTCCTGCCGACTGCGGCTTCCGTGGGGCCTGGCACGGACTGAGGTCAGACATAGGACGGAGGATTTTTGTGTGATTTCGAAGTTAAGCTGCTTCTACAGCGAGTGGGTAATTGATAATGACGGAGTTGTACATCACTATCCTAAGGAGAACTAGGAGCTGGGGTCCGGGTGGACCGCGGACTGGAGCGTGAAGGAAGGCGGCAGGGATCAGACTGATGAGGGATGAAGGCACAAGTGCTGGTGCCTGAAGGCGTATTCTTGCTGTGAGGTCAGGTCGTAGTGAGCTGAGGGGAGGGCCGAGTAAAGAGAAGACCCCCTATGTGTGGATTTGGGGGTCTGGTAGCACGTAAGTGAGAAAAGTGAGCCAGGTAAGTAAAGAGGAGAGGAGAGGGTAACAGCCCACTAGCCTCTCATCTCTGCACGGGTCCTTTCTTCTCCAGCGTCTTTGACAGTATTGTAGAGCGCTCTCTCTGGACACACTGCTCAGATGTGTGCTGTCGCCAGACATCCCTTACAGATTGAATGTAGTCCCTAGAACATGGTGGAGACTTGTCCCTAGAACATGGTGGAGATGATTTTGGAGTGCTGTTTCTATGTTGCAGCTTTTCTCCTCTTGAAACATGGGCCCCATTCCTTCTCCTGCAAAACCAAACCAAACCAAACCAAACCAAACCAAAAACAAGTCTCTCCTTTGAAGGCTTCCTGATACAGTCGCCTCTGCCCTCCTTAGGCAAAGCTCTGAGCGGTTCACTTCCCTTTAATCTCCCCTGTTTGGGGTTGCAGCTTTCTGAGTGCCCAGGAAATGTCTGGGTCGCCAAGCGGCCCCAGGAATGGACCAGGCCTGGTGCCGCCCTGTGTGTGCTCTTTTCCACCCTTTCCTGTGACTACAGATACTTTGTATTAATTCAGCATTGTTGTCTTTCTAGTTTTCAAATTTGCTGGGTACAGTATATCGACGTGGAAACTTAAATTTTACATCTGATGGAAATTCAGTTATCAGTCCTGTGGGAAACAGAGTTACTGTGTTTGATCTTAAAAAGTAAGTATGAGAAATGGTGTTAAAAGTAATGACGGTGGATGTTTTGTTGTATACTGTTAAGTGTCACCGAGTCAGTTCTGATTCATAGCGACCCTGCATAGAGTTTCTGAGGAATGGCTGGTGAGTTTGAATGCCGACCTTGTGGTTCAAACTGACCTTGTAGTCCAGTGCTTTATCCATAACACCACATCGGGACTCTTCTTACTACAATTTAAAAGAAAAAAAAAAAAAAGAATATTAATTAGAGCTTGTGTGTAAAAGCTGTTGTCCTCACCTTCATATTAGGCCCATTCATTAAATGTTTTCAGTCCTGATTTCAGAACTTAGAAAGCTTATGTCTTCATAAGCACCATTTTCCTTGATTCACTCTCATTGTGGTTGATCCCTGCCCTTGAACTAACTTGTTTCTAGGTTCCTGACATTAGACATATGCTGAGTTCTCTGGGACACAGTCCTTGAGGTAAAATTGGTGTGTCTACCCCTTTTAAGACTTTTACCATGTTGCGCAAAATCTGCACCTCCCCCCCCCCCCACACACACACACACACACACTTCTCCTTTCAGTGGAGACATGAGACCATCTCTACCCTCAGTGGTCCAGAGGAATGGGAAGATGTATGGTGAGGATGGGCTTGTATGGCTTGGATGGACTGCTGGGCAGAGGCTCATGGTGTGCACCCTACCACCTTCTCTTGTGGTCTGTTTTTTTCAGCAACAAGTCAAACACCCTGCCTCTGGCCACACGCTACAATGTCAAGTGTGTAGGGCTCTCTCCGGATGGCTGCCTTGCCATCATCGTGGATGAAGGTAATGGCCCTAGGCCACAGCATGGTGGCTGTACTACCATGACAGAATGACAACAGTACTGAGTGGCAATGAGAAGGGGTCATGAGACAGCCCCTCGCCATCATCAACATCACAGGGCTCTGGTGGAGCTTTGGATGGGGGTGAGGATGTTTTCCAGTGTGGGCCCTGCATCCTGTGTGGAGAGGGGTGAGGACATGTATCAAGTGGGCTTTAATGCCTGTGCGGAGAAGAATTGGGAGCCAAGAGCCGCTGCCTGGGGGCATTGCAAAATACTTACTTTATCCATCCCAGTTGTGTGTCCTTAGCAGCCCTCAGCTCTTTGAGCCTGCTTCTTATCTGACAAGGGCATGTGGGTCCCACCGGTTAGACAGGGGCGTGCTAGCTGTGTATGGACCCCATCCTGCATAGGGCTCCTGAAGAGAATATGTCCTGTGGGAGACCATACTCGTTTCTGCAGTATGTGCATTTGTGCGTGGAGGGGTTGTCACTCAGGGCCAGTGGCATGATAGTTGTGTATTCTCTCTTGCAGGGGGTGATGCCCTGTTGGTCAGCCTGGTTTGCAGATCTGTACTCCACCACTTTCACTTCAAAGGCTCTGTGCACAGTGTGTCCTTCTCTCCCGATGGCAGGTAAGGGCCTCAACTGGCCACTCTGAGCACTGCAGCATGCCCCCCCACTCCCACCCCACCCCAAGCTGGCTGTGCTTAGCTCTTCCCACTGCAGGCCGTGTTGGGGGAGTAGCTAGTTTAATGTTTTTGTTACTCCAGAAGTGTTTCCACTGCCAAAGTTGTCTGTAGCAGTACCAGCCTTTGTTTTGCTGATGTTTCAGGATTACTCAATCATAAAAAAGGAAAAAACCATCAAGTTGATAGTTGTCCGCATAGAGAGGCTTGATCATGGATGCCAAGCATAGTCAACACAGGGAAGAAGTAGCTGGGGTGAACTCTGGGGGGAGCAGACACGAACCTCCAGAGTCCTTCCCTAGTGAGGCCACATAGCGACCAGTCATGGCAGCATTGTCCACCAGAAACCCAGTGTCCTGGTTTTTATTAGTACTGGTCACCAAGACTTTCTAGCGTCTTCATTTCCTCCCTGACTCCTCAGTTCGCCTCTGTTTGTGCTGGAGGGGAGGCGGGACCTGGAAAGCTCAGGGAACCAGCCACCAGGTTTGTGCTGGTGAGAAACCAGCCACAGAGCAGCCTGGGCTTCTAGGCTCAGAGATGCCCAGGGTTTCTGGTGTGTGTGTCATGAGTGCTGACTGTATCCCTACTTGTAGGAAGTTTGTTGTCACCAAGGGCAACATCGCCCAGATGTACCATGCCCCTGGGAAGAAGCGAGAATTCAATGCATTTGTCCTGGACAAGACCTACTTCGGACCATATGATGAGACCACATGCATTGACTGGACGGATGACTCCAGGTGGGACCAGCGTGGTACAGCATCCAGAAGTTTCATTTTGAAATGTTACCTTGTGAGACTCACGAAAGGCTGCTGGGGCTGAGCTTCGCCTGCTCCCCTTGACAGTTGTCCTTGGCAACGAGAACAGAAGACTCAGTCTCAAGGAAAGATGCTCTTAAATCAATACAGCTACCTTTGAGTCTGCTCCCCAAACCCGTAACCTAAAGGTTGTCAGCAGGAAGATGGGTGACTGCCTTTCCCCCACCCCCTGGCACCTCACGCATGTATTTAACATGTGAGCTATGTATGTGCCCTTTTCTTGTGCCCTCACGAGTCTGTTTGAGTGAAGCTCCTTAGACAGTTGTCAGTGTTTTCTTAACTAGGAGCTCTGTGCTGCACACAGACTCCGGAGAGGCTCAAAGGTAGTCGCTGTCCAGTACTCTTGCTCAGGGTCTGGCTGGGTGGCAGACTGGGCCCCGGCCCAGTGTAAGTGTTATAGCTGATCTGTAGGATACAGTTGTGTGTGTACGCATGTGGCAGCGCCCCTTCACTTTGGTGAATTAGAGTCTATCTTGCCTTGGATGCAGTGAGGCCCTGAGCTCCATGCTTCAGACTTCTTTATTTAGAAAACTGTCTGCACTGGCTGGGGTGAGACCAGGTCCTTCCTGAGGTCCCTAACTGGCTGTTCTTTGTGAGTGTGCATTGCCCCCTCTAGTGAAGCACAGGACCTGGCATTGCTATGCACTGTGGCTCCTGCCACCCAAGACTGACACCAGACAGGTGTGGCCGGCACCCCAGGAGCCAGATGGGTCATCAGCTTTGCACCTGTGCTGGGCTGTGGGGCTGTCTTGGCTGACTGAGACCACATGGCAGATGGAAGTGTCTTTTCGCTCCTCACTTTGTAGAGAGCAGATGATGGCTCAGCCTGCGGAGTACGGTCCTGTGCCTGAGGACACACTGCTTTTCTCATTTCCAGGTGCTTCGTGGTTGGGAGCAAGGACATGTCCACCTGGGTGTTTGGTGCCGAGCGCTGGGACAACCTCATCTATTATGCGCTAGGAGGACACAAGGATGCTATCGTGGCCTGCTTCTTCGAGTCTTGCAGCCTGGATGTACGTCACTGCAAAAAAATAGGCCTGCTGCCACATTTCCACTGTGGGTGAAACAGCTCTGAAAGACCATGGGGCAGTGCAGAACCTAATCCCCAGTATAGAGGGAGGGCTGTAACAGGGCTGATGTTGAGTGGGCAGCCTACCTAGACAGAAACTCGGCCACATGGGCTGGCATGCAGCTGTGAGGGCTGGTGGGCAGTGGCTCACCCTGTATTTCTTGTGGCAGCTGTACACCCTGAGCCAGGATGGGGCCCTGTGTGTGTGGCAGTGTGACACGCCCCCAGAAGACCTGCGGTTGATGGCTCCCCGGGGCTGGAGGGCAGACCTGCTACAGCGGGACCAGGATGTAGAGGAGGCTGAGGATGGGGAGAAAGAGATCACAGTGCGAGGGACCGCCACCCCGGCCGAGGAGGAGCAGAAAGGAAAAGTGAAGTACACACGGCTGGCCAAGTGCGTTCCTCCCACCCTGTCAGGGGTCATGGGGGCCTGGAGGGTGGGGCTAGAGGAGAGTGCATGCGGGCAGCAGCCTGTTTCTGTGGGTGAGGTCCTAGAAAGCACGTGACCTAGTTCCCTGTAGACCAGGGACAACCACACAGTGGGGGCAGGTGACCCATGGCAGTGGGGTGGGGGATGGGGTTAAGGAGGGGAGGACAGGCAGGTCACTCACTGGAAGGCAGTGAAGTGGCACGGAAGTGGGTTGATTGGGGCGTGCTTCACCCATGCTAGCTGACAGTGAATGGGGTGAAGGGCCCAGGAAAGGAGGAGGGGAGTGGGCTCTGACCAAGTCCACAGCTGTGCTCCTGCCCTCTGGTTCCTGTAGCACCTTTCCTGGGTACCCCATCACACAGCACTCATGCTACCTCATTGTACCTGGGTACCAGCTAGGAGTTCCACTGGGACCCCAAATTAGACCCATAGGTGATCAGAGCAGGTCTGCAGGTCTTGAGGAGTGGGTGACCCTGAGGGGAGGGGACTGCCCTTGTGCACTGAAGAATATGGGGTCTGGAGCAGGATGAGCTGGGTGCTAACTGCTGGCCCTCCTGCAGTAGTTCTTCCTTCATGTTTATCCAGGTACTTTTTCAACAAAGAAGGTGATTTTAACAATCTGACAGCTGCTGCGTATCACAAGAAGACCCACCTCCTGGTCACTGGATTTGCTTCAGGAACCTTCCATCTGCATGAGCTCCCGGAGTTCAACCTCATCCACTCCTTGAGGTGAGTTCCTTTGGAGCCACAGTTATGTGGTTTTACTGGAGAATCAGCCTAAAGGGGATTGAGGGGTACAGAGGCAGCCAAGGAGCTTCTTCTGTGCTGCAGGGCGGTTGCTGACAGAGCTTGGAAACAGCTCTGAATTAGGTTCAGAATTAGCAGACCGGCTTCCCTAGCTCCTGGCCTTTCCTTTGTATTCTGAGAAAAGTTTTGTTACCAGGTGGGTGAAGATAACTACCGAAGTGGTAGTTACTTTCTTAGTCTCCCCCTGCAGGTGCTCACTGGGCTTTGGCCTCAGTTTGGTGATGCTAATTTATTCTTTGTTCTCTGTTGTTTCTCTTTGGATCAGGGAAATTTTAATACTGGTTTTATGAACTCTTGAACTCTCAAATATTTCAACATAGGACTTCCATCTGGGTTTGATACTGCCAACAGAGTGAATTGTCTCTAAGCCTAATGCATGTGTGGGGGATCAAAGGGTACGTAGCGGTGGGATGTGGGAGGGCTGGCTGGTGGGCTGCCTCCTGGATCGGCCTGAGCCCCCAGGTTGTGTGGCTGCAGGCAGCTCGCAGTGTCACCCCAGTGGGCTGTCCCGGGCTCACTGCATCTGCTCTTTCTTCACAGCATTTCCGACCAGAGGATCTCATCCATTGCCATCAACAGCACTGGGGACTGGGTGGCCTTTGGATGCTCAGGTGTGTCTTTGAGCCCAGGTCACGGAGCTCCTCCTGCTCATTGCCAAACTTTAGGACAGATCTCGGGCTGGGGCCTGACAGAAGGACCTAGAGACCAGGCTAAGGCTGAGATAGAGGCTCAGGGGTCCAGTTCCTTGACCCCGGGTGTGGAGGGGCATGTTTGGAGCGCTGACCTTTAGGGTGAGCCTAGGCTGCCTCCTTTCCTGTCTCAGACAGTTCTGCCCTTGTCTAAGCTTGTGCACGGTCTCACTGTGACCCGAGTAGGGCAATCTGGTGGCTGACATTTGAAAGGAGAGGTAGTGAAGCTTTCCCTGAAGTTCTTTATCATGGTTTCTTGAGCTCTTTTGGTCTTGGGCCTCAGCCTCACCTCTAGCAGGTCTGCAGAAGGTCAGGTGTGCATGTCCCTGCCTTGAGTCCCCATGTGTCCACCTGGGAGCAGCTTTGCTGGGGCAGTAGCTGCATAGTCTTGCCATGTGGACTGACGTGGTTTACTTTGGTCTGCGTGGGACATGCAGGAAGTGACTTTTAGTGGCTCCCCAGTCCTCTCCCTACTCCCTTGGGCACTGCTTTTCGGGGTCTGCACCTGGGGAGGGTTGGTAACTACTGTGCTCCGTATGCCCACAGGGCTGGGCCAGCTGCTGGTATGGGAGTGGCAGAGTGAGTCCTACGTGCTCAAGCAGCAGGGCCACTTCAACAGCATGGTGACACTGGCCTACTCACCTGATGGACAGTACGTCGCCACTGGCGGGGATGACGGCAAGGTAGCCCACACGCGACTTCGTGGCACCAAGACCAGCATGGCTTGGGGTTGGAAGTTGGCATGGGGCAAGTGCGGTCAGCTTGGGGAGAGCCTGTCAGGAAGTCAGAGGCCTGGAATCACAGAGGGGGTCCCTGTCCCTGTGTGTCTTGGGGCCCAGGAGCTGGGCTGGCACAGGGCCATACAGTTGCCCTGCCCCTCACATGCTGCCTGTTGCAGGTCAAGGTGTGGAATACGCTCAGTGGCTTCTGCTTCATCACCTTTACGGAGCACTCGAGTGGGGTCACTGACGTGACCTTCACGGCCACAGGCTATGTCATTGTGACCTCGTCCATGGATGGGACTGTGCGTGCCTTTGACCTTCACAGGTGACATCTTTGTTTTGGTGGTCAGCAAATGTCAAGGCCACCTCTTGTGGGTGGGTGTTGGGGGTGTGGGGTGCAGGCCTGTTGGGAATGAGGACGGTGGATGAGTGTGGGAAGACAGATGTACTTGGCAAATTCAAACTCTCCCATTTGTGTTCATGGGGCACTGGTGACATTAGATGTGACCTAGAGCTATGGTCCCCGCTCCCAACAGGTACCGCAACTTCCGCACGTTCACATCTCCACGCCCCACACAGTTCTCCTGCGTAGCTGTGGATCCCAGTGGTGAAATCGTCTCCGCTGGTGCCCAAGACTCTTTTGAAGTCTTTATCTGGTCCATGCAGACTGGCAGGCTCCTAGACGTAAGTGTGGGGCACTTGGCCTGTGGCAACTTTTGTCTCCATCCTCTCACCAGAAAACTGAGCTTACCTGATCCCAGGTGGTAGGGACCCTGAGGTGCCGTGCATGTGGTAGACACTCAGGAGTGGTGGCTCTCAGTTTTCCCCTGCTTCATCTCCGTTTTATGCTTCTGCAGGTTTTATCTGGCCACGAGGGGCCCATTAGTGGTTTGAGCTTCAACCCAGCCAAGTCTGTGCTGGCCAGCGCCTCCTGGGACAAGACGGTACGTCTCTGGGACATGTTTGACAGCTGGCGGACCAAGGAGACGCTGGCCCTGACCTCTGATGGTGAGACATTCCAGTGGCTGAGTTGTGAGGTCAAGCTTGTTTCAGTCCTTTGGACAGGTGGTGTTCTTCCCCCATCCCCTTCACCCCAAGGGTTGGAGGGATGACCCCAAACCAGTGAGGCTGAGGCAGTGTTCGGGGTGAGAGCCGGTCAGTTGTTGAACCCAGTATCACATAGTCTGGCTGTGGGTGTAGAGGAATTGTTTGTTGGGGGTCCTGGTTTACCAGGCCCTTGATGCAGGAGAGCCAGGCAAGAAAAAGTTCAGCCTGTTTGCTGGGCGGAGCTGTTTTCTGCAGTTCCTTGGAATTGTCTTTGGGTTTGAAGCATTGTCTACAAGAAGTAGACAGTGTTCTGTGGAGGGACCATGGATGAGGCAGCCAGGAGGGACCATGGATGAGGCAGCCAGGAGTCTGGTCAGTGTGCCTTCCTTTCCTGTTTTCATTGTCACTTCATTCCAGTAATCCAGGGGATAGAACATAGCAGCCTGCCTCCAAACCTGGTCCGCTACTGGCATTTGTAATTTTATTTGGGTGCAGCACGTCCATCCACTGTGTATATACTGTGTGGCTAGGCTCATGCTACATTAGCTGCGTTAGGTCATCGTAACAAACACCTGTGTGGGCTTCATGGAGAAGCATGCCAACCTGGGTCATGTGTGTTCTCTGTGATGTTCTGCCTCCCGCTGTCCCTAGCTCTGGACCAGGCTTTGCAGGCCTCTATGTTGTTCCCTGCGTCACCTCACCTTTCCTAGCCTTTCCTCCCAAGGTGGCTGCCCACCGTGCCCCTGGACTGGCCTTCTCCCACCACTCAGTAGTGCCTGATGGATGCTGGAGGATGAGGTCTGTGAGCTTCCTCCACCCTGAGTCTCATTTCTCTTTAGTGCTGGCAGTGACTTTCCGACCTGATGGTGCAGAGCTGGCTGTGGCCACACTGAACTCACAGATCACCTTCTGGGATCCTGAGAGCGCGGTGCAGACAGGCTCCATCGAGGGCCGGCACGACCTCCGAGCAGGCAGGAAGGAGCTGGACAAGATCACGGCCAAGCACTCGGCCAAAGGGAAGTGAGTGTTTGTTGGGGACTGAGGGCCTTTGAAAAGATCAACTTTGGGCTCTTCACTGGATCTGAGCATCCTACTGGCAAGTTCTCACAGCACCTTTTCTTTCTGGCCTGCTCCTTCATTCCTGAAACTGCCAGTCCCCTCTGGTGAGGATGAGTGGTGTGAGTGCCTAAAGAAGGCTGAGCCCTCTGACACTTTCAGAGCCAAAGGACATTTGCATTCATCTCTCTGACTTCTGGTGCCATGTGGGGCAGGGGGCCCGGGCCGCCCAGCAACTTTGGGTGGCCGGGGATTGCCAGGTGGGCAGTGTGAAGCTAGAGTGTGCTTTAATTGGGGCCTGTGTGTGCTTTTCATTAGAATACAGATGAAGTGCATCAGGACCTGGGTTGCATGATTTCTGCTAAAGTGCTGGCCTGCTAGAAATGGCAGTACCTCCCAGGGCCAGTTTGAGTATTGGGCATGGAGGCGCCTAACCTTGTGCAGGAGGCAGCCTTTCTGGTTTTACTAAAAGGCCAGCTCCATGAGAGTTGAGGTTTCTTTAACATCTCTTTATTGTTGTTGTTATTTAGTGCCATTGAGTCGGTTCTTACTCTTAGTGACTCTGCATAGGATCTCTGAGTAGCCGCTGGTAAGTTTGAACTGGTGATCTTGTGATTCAAACCGACCTTGCGGTCCAGTGCATTATACTGCCACAATTTACAAAGTGTAGCTAGAATTCACCCTTTAAAAAAAACTTTTTCTTTTTTGAGGAAGTCTACTTGTTTTATTTCTCTTTAATAATAGTCTTGGTATGGCACTGTAGGTTAATGTGCCAAAGGACATCAGCTGGTCAAGTAAATAAATGAACAATGTAAGCTTGACGTTTGTTTTTAATGTTCTTGTCTATTGATCTAGATTAGTATGATGATGCGAAAATATGGTAAAACTCATTGTAAACTCTACCCTTTTGAAGTATCTGTTTATGTCCTTGCTTTTTGTTCTGGGAATATATGTATACCTCCTGGTGTGGCACTGTAGACTAATGCGTCAGACTGCAAAGTCAATTTAACTGCAAGGTGGGTGGTTCAAGCTTACCAGCTACTCCTTGGAAACCTTATACAGGGTTGTTAGGGATTGGAATCGACTCAATGGCACTTAACAACAACAACAACAACAACAACAACAACAGTACTAGTAGAATTATGGAGCTCTGGTAGTGTAGTGGTTACAAGTTGGCTGTTAACATCACGGTCAGCCGTTTGAAACTACCAGCTGCTCCCCAGGAGAAAGATGACACTTTCTGCTCCCATAAAGATTTACAACCTCAGAAACCCTATGCAGGGTCACTATGACTATGAGTCGGAACGGACTCCACAGCACACCACCACCACTAGTAGAATGACTGGGTCATATCATCAGTAGGTGTCTAACTTTTGAAGAAACTACCCACTGTTTTTCACAGGGGCTTCAACATTTTACATTTCCACCAATGGCGGGGGGAGTGTTGACAAACTTCTCAATGTGGAGATAGCCTTCCCAACACTTGTTAATCTCTATTTTTAATCTTAACCATCCTGGGGGATGTGAAGTATCTGATAGCTCATTATGATTTTCATTTCTATCTTTTCAAGAAAAGGGTTTGTTCAACTTCTTTATAATTGAGATTTTTAGAATAATTATATATGTACCCCGGATACCATGTGTTTTACATGATGCACAGACATTTCCGCCCCCCTCCCCCCCCTTCATGGGTTATGTTCCCACTTTCTTGATGTTGTCCTTTGAAGAACAAATGTCTTTAAAATTTGATTGAGTTCAGTTTTTATCTTCTTTAGTTACTAGTGCTTTCGGTGTTAGTCTAGGAAATTCTTGCCCGACCCATGGCCACTGTCCAGGTCATGTGTCTTGAGCACATGGGGTAGCAGAGTGCCTGGCTTCTGGTTTCTGCAGGACCAAGTGGACGCTACCAAGAGGGGCTGCTTTGAGTGTTGGGAGACGTATCTGCTACCTTCCGTTCTGACGGCCACATAATTACCCTTATATGGTTCACTTATCCTTTTATGGACAAGCCACTGTCTCAGGTTCTGCGTGCATGTCCTGTCCCACTTGTGAGTCATGTGGACTCTGGGAGCAAGAGCTGGGCATATCTTTTGGTTAAAAGTCTCGTCACGTGAGCATAGGGTCATGGGTATTATGACTCATCCCTTCCAGGTCTTTCACCACCCTGTGCTACTCTGCGGATGGCCAGAACATCCTGGCAGGAGGTCTGTCCAAGTTTGTCTGCATCTACCATGTCAAGGAGCAGATCCTCATGAAGAAGTTTGAGATCTCCTGTAATCTGTCACTGGATGCCATGGAGGTACATCAGGCCAGCCGACCCTACATGAGTGGAGCCCTTCCCCATTGTTACTCACTGTGCAGGTTGGGAGACATATCTACCACCTTGATGCAGTGGCCTTGGAGGGAGGGTCTGGTCAGTGTTGAGGGCGTGTGAGGAGAGAAGAGATGGTGTGAGGTGGCTGTGTCTGCAGCCCCTTTCTCAGGCCCTCACATCAGAGGTGAGATGGGCACATGATGGCTATTCCAGGAATTTTTGAACCGGAGGAAAATGACAGAGTTTGGTAACCTTGCGCTGATTGATCAAGATGCCGGGGAGGAGGACGGGGTGGCGATACCACTGCCTGGTGTAAAGAAAGGTGAGTGGGGCTCTGGAGTCCCCATGGCCACATCTTGGGGTTGGGGCACAGTGGGGCTTGCCTTTCCTGGTGGCTGTGGTTCTACTTGAGATGGTGGCCACTGGAGTACAAAGTCAAGGAGCACTGGCCAGACAGTGACATTTGGCCGGATGCTGGTGTCTTTACCCCCCTCAGGCTTGAGAAGTCCACCCTGTGAGTCCCCACTGCAGTCTGGGTGCCTCGGTCCTGTTGGGAGCCCCCTGTACTCTGTGTTGAGCGGGTGGAGCACAGATATGCTGACCGTCCTGCAGTGCACAGGATGGCCATCTCGATAGAAGTTTGCAGCCCAGCTGCCAGTCAGGCCCAGCCTGAGATCCCTCGAGCGAGTATTCCTGGGGGACATATGAAAATGTTCATTGTGGTGGCCGCCGGGAAGGGCCAGGGCAGGTTGAGAGCAGCTTACATTTCAAATTACCTCCTGTGTGGTGTGCATTTGATACTACAGAGGTGGCCGTGTGACAAGGCTGAGGCCCTGGCTATGGGCAGCATCTGCCTGGGTCGGGAAAGGCTGCTTCCTGCCTTGTCTTGGAGCGGAGGATAGTAACTTCGCTCTTTTCCCTAGAGCCACCTCCAGGCGTAATAGGCTGCCTGTAACTCATTGGTTCTCCCCTTAGGTGACATGAGCTCTCGGCACTTTAAACCTGAGATCAGAGTGACTTCACTCCGCTTCTCCCCAACAGGTGAGCCTGAGAGTGGGTTGTCCACACTAGAAAGTGGGGGTAGTGGTGATGGCCTCCAATTGTGGAGTGGGCTGTAAGTGTGAGGGTTCTAAGCCTCTCTGGGTGTCGTTGCTGTCTCTCCCCATCAGTGTAAGGACGTGCACTAGTGTAAAGAATGCACCACTACTGTTGTCAACTGCCCATCCTGGGGCTGTGTCCTTGCTCTAAAGTATGAAGTCTCCTATCTCTCCTACCCCAGCCCTCAACCCTGTCAGAAGAAAGAGCTGTACTCCTTGCTGTCACAAGTGGGTTGTGGCAGACAGCGCCCTATGGTCTATCCCCACAGCAGATGCAGCACTGCCTGTAAGGCAGCACGGTGGAGAGCAAGCAGCCATGAGGCACTCAGGGACTGCAATCGTGTTGGCCAGGCAGCCAAGCGGCCCACTGCCTATCCTCTGATGTAGTTGTGCCCCTCCCTCCCATGTGTAGTCTATGGCAGCTTTTGAGGACAAGGACAGAGTCGAGTGGTTGCAAAAGAGATCTGCCTTCCCCAAAGCCAAAAATATCTTCTCTCTGGCTGCTGGTGCAGGTAGAAAAGAATGCATGTGCCTGTGTATTTGTTCACATGCATAAAATAGTTACACACGTGATCAACTCACTTAAAGTGAGGAAACAATAAACTTCAGTTCTTAGTAAGCCAGTTTCCCACCTATTCCCAGGGCGTTGCTGGGCGGCCACCACCACCGAGGGACTGCTCATCTATTCCCTTGATGCCCGCATGGTTTTTGACCCCTTTGAGCTGGACACCAGTGTCACACCTAGCCAGATCCGCGCTGCACTGCGCCAGAAGGACTTCACACGGGCTATCCTGATGGCCTTCCGGCTCAATGAGCAGGCCCTGGTGCATGAAGCACTGGAGTCGGTGCCCCCAGACGAGGGTGAGCGTGCTGGTGGGGGCGGGGCAGCGGTTGTTGGGCTGGATCTGTGCTTTCTACAGGCAGAGATGGATGGGGCATCTTTGTCTTCTTCAACTTGGGCTTTTGGTATAATGAGCATTTCTTTCTTCCTGCAGTTGAAGTTGTCAGCTCTTCATTGCCAGAGGTATATGTAGAGAAGGTCCTGGAGTTTCTTGCTTCCTCTTTTGAGGTGTCTCGCCACCTGGAGTTCTACCTGCTGTGGACGCAACAGTTGCTCATGCAGCACGGACAGAAGCTAAAGGCCAGGTGAGACCCCTCTCCACTGGTCTGCGGCCTGGAAAGAATGGGCTAGGGGCTGGGACCTGGGCAGCGTTTGGTATAAGACGGCTGAGTTGTCTTTCTTTGTAGGGCAGGGACGCTGCTGCCGGCTGTACAGTTCCTACAGAAGAGCATCCAGAGGCACCTCAATGACCTCTCCAAGTTGTACGTGTCCTGGGCAGCGGGCCAGAGCTGCCTGTGCTGTGTGTAACCTGGGGCAGTAGGGGTGTAGTGGAGGTGGGGTAAAGGCAACGGAGGATGAGACTGGCCAGCTTCCACCCATGGCCCAGCAGGACTCAGATGGGCCTGTGGTAGAGACAGTGCCACTCACTCAGAAGAGCCAGCTGCCATGATGCAGTTGACAGGACAGCCCCCATGGTTTGGCTGTTGCTCTCTTGCATACTGTAGATCTTTCCCTGGACTCATGTCAGCTATGGGCAGGAACAGACATGGAGCCTTAGCACTGAGCCACCCCATTCCAGCACCTCGTGATCTCCTAGGGGTGTGGCTGCTGTGTGTCTCAGTTTCCCAGAGGAAAATGGGAATGATAACTTAGGTGCTCTGAGCAGTACCTGTCATCACCATCGTCTTCAGGATAGTTAGCACATGTACTGTCCCAGGGTTCCTGATGCTACAAGGTTTGGCTCTTGGTGTGAGGCTTTCTACCTCCCACCCTTGCTCCCATCACTTAGGCAGTGTGAGGGACAGGGCCTAATCCTACCAAGTTCTAGTCCGTCCCCACTGCCCTAGCCATAGTACTGAGTGGCCTTTCCCCTGCTCTAGTGACAAGCTGCAGTCTGTCCTCACTTGTGGCCCTCCATCTTCACCATAGTACACAAGCTCCTTCCTCCTTCACATGGGAGGTCTTGGGGTTGATACACTGGGGCTGTGTTAATCTGTGTTTTGCTCAGAGAACTGGCTTCCAGCACCTATGAGGGTATATCATGGTATAGTCTGTACTAGCAGATGGCATGTGTATCTCGTGAGTCCTGTCCTGCTCCTTGACAGTTGCATATTCTGGGACGTCAGTGGTGGCTGTTGTGACGCAGGCACATGGAGGTGGTGGGCACAGAGTAGGCTCAGGTGCAGACTCTGCTGGTTCCTTTACTGATGTGACAATTCCTGTATCTGACAGATGTGACTGGAACCGCTACAACATGCGCTATGCTTTGGCTGTGTCCAAGCAGAGGGGTATGAAGCGGCCCCTAGAGCCACTGGGAAGTGAGGATGCCGCCGTGTCCGATGATGATGAGGACAGCCTGCACCTGCTCGGGGGAGCGGACGAGGAGAAAGATACTTTGTCCTAGAGGCAGTGCAGCTGCACTAGGCCCACCAGATGTGACAGGCATGGGCCGATCTGACTGCTTGGCCTGCCCGAGGTGCTCAGACACCTGGAAGTAGGTGCAAGGGGACTGACTTAGCTCGCTAGGAGCCAGCCCCCACACACTGTTGTGGGGAGCAGCTGACCCCCATCCTGTCTCAGGCACACCTGACCCAGGGGATCGAGCTTTGAGTAGATTTTGAAATGTCTGCTGTTGAAACAGCACCTTCAGATAGGTCTGTGTGTCTTGTTCATGGATGCACAGACTTTGTATGAGAGCTATTTATATATATATTTTTTTTGTGTGTGTGTGTGACTCTACGTATTTTTTTTTCTTAAATGTTTTATTGTGAATTATGTGATAGTTTACATTGTATCGTGTATCGTCTCATTGCCATGGTTGAGCTATTTATATTTTTATAGAGAGTTTTGATGAATGAATTTAGTGATAAAGAGAATGGGGATTTCTAAATGTAAAGCTGGATAAAGTCTAAGGTGAAATAAACACATTTTGTAGTGTGTCCCGAGTGTGAGGCACTGCGGTGCAGTCAGGAGCTCCCAGCTGTGCCTCATGATGCAGAGGTGACAGGAGGATGGATGAGCCCTTCCCTCCAACTATCTCGGTCCTGTGGCATGGGTGGACCCACATGGAACACAGAATGCCATAGCCCCAGGTGATGTGGAGGGCGACTTGGGCCCCAAACAACGGGGAGGGAGGATCTGACTTTAGGCCTGCCAGAGGACCCCTCCTCTCTGTGGTGCACTCTGCCTCATCCCTTAGTGAGCTGCTTCAAAGCCCCCAACTACATCGCTTCCACCCCACTTCCTGGAAACAAGTTACATTTTCTCTTGCTGTTTCCTGGAGTTGGGGACCAGGCTGACCTGGGGCGGTGTCCTCAGTATGCAGGGCAGGTGTCAGCCCAGCTTCCATGGCTGATCTGGGTGCACAAAGCCTAAAGCAGCTGAACTGAGCTTCATGTGAAGGGAGAGTCTTAAGTCCCCAGAGACACTATCGGTGTCTGTGTTGGACCGAGACACCTTGTTCCAGTAGACCCACAGGGGGTTCGAGAACCCAGAATCCAGACACATCCACAAAGCTGCCCATGCCTTGGGATATCTAAAGTGTCCTGTTGTGCTGGGAGCAAGGGGGTGGGCTGGCCCAGCTTTCAGAAACAGGCCTAAGGACTTTACATGGTTTTCCAGTTCCCCACAATAGCAGATACTTTTTACCAAGAAGCAAGCACACAAATGGTGAGGCTGGGCCTCTAGTAGACGGAGGATGAGTTTCCATTAAGCCACTCTGTCTTTCATCCAGAAATGAAATAGAACGATGACTCTGTAGATCCCTCTCTGTCTGCACTCTGATGGAGTGATGGCCTGTGATGGATGTGTGCACAGGGGGCACCCTGAGCAGGAACACCTGGAGCAGGCCGTGGATGAGGACTGTGTGGTGGCTTAGCACACTTCTAGATGGTCCAGCTGACCAGCTCCTCTCCCCCGCTTCATTCCCCCCAACTGCTCCAAAGCCCCAAGCTACATTGCTCCCATCCCTCCCCATGAAAACAAATTACATTTTCTCTTGTAATGCTTCTTAACATCAACACTCATGGAAGCAGCAGTCAAGAAATCAAACGATGTAATGCACTAGGCAAATATGCACAAGACCTCTTTAAGTGTCCAAGAGCAAAGATGTCAGTTTGAGGACTAAGGTGTGCATGACTTGAACCATGGTATTTTTGATAGCCTCATATGCATGTAAAAGTTGGACAAGGACTATGGAAGACCATAGAAGAATTAATGGATTTGAGTTAGGGTGTTGGAGGAAAGTACCATGGCCTGCTAGAAGAACAAAGTAATGTGTATTGAAATGACAGCCAGAATGCTCCTTAGAAGCCAGGATGGCGAGACTTCATGTTTCATACTTTGGATGTATCAGGACCAGTCCCTGAAAAAGGACATCATGTAAAGTGGAGGGTCAGCAAAAAAGAGGAAGACCCTCAACATGACGGGTTGGCACAGTGGCAGCAGCAATGGGCTCAAGCTTAACAATTGTGAGGATGACGCAGGACTGGGCAGTGTTTCGTTCTGTTGTGCATAAGGTCTCATTATGAGTTGGAATCGACTCAATGGCTCCTAACAACATGTTAATTCATGGGGATGTTACAATTGATTATTTTTTGCATCACAAGTAAATATTAGTTGTAGATTGCTTTTCTTCCTAAAAGCCTGTAATAGAGTTAGTGATTTTTAGTGCTGTCTCTAAAATCACATCTCAGTTCCCAGGTGTGTTGTTGTTAGGTGCCATCACGTTGGTATTGACTCAGTGACCCTATGCACGACAGAACAAAACAGAGTACAGTTCTGCCCGATCCTGGGCCAACCTCACAATTGTTGCCACGCTTGAGCCCATTGATGCTGCCACTTTGCCAATCCATCTTGCTGGGGGTCTTCCTCTTTTTCTCTGACTCTCCACCTTACCAAACATGATATCCTTCTCCAGTGACTGGTCCTTCCTGACAATTATGTCCAGAGTATGAGACATGAAGTTTGGCCATCCTGGCCTCCAAGGAGCACTCTGGCTGCACTTCTCAAACAGATCTGTTTGTTCTTTTGACAGCCCATGGCACTTTCAATATTCTCCAACACCATGACTCAAAAGCATCAGTTATTCTATGGTCTTCCTTATTCACTGTCCAGGTTTCACATGCATATGAGGTTAATCAAAATACCATGGCTTGGGTCAGGCGCACCTTAGTTCTCAAGCTGACATCTTTGCTCTTCAATACTTTTAAAAAGTTCCTGTGCAGCAGATTTGCCCAGTGCAATACGTCGTCTGACCTCTTGACTGCTACTTCCATGAGTGCTGATAGTTGATCCAAGAAGAATGAAGTCCTTGACAACTTCAATCTTTTCTCCATTGATTAGAATGTTGTTTATTGCTCCAGTGGTGAGGATTTTTGTTTTCTTGACATTGAGATGCAATCCATACCGGTACTGCTTAGTATTTGGAGTTGATGGGGGAAGCCAGCTGGTTCTCCAGGAGCTGTGAGGCATCAGACTGCCTTGTGGCAGTGCCCAACAGGGAAAGGGTTAAGAGCTGGGACCCACAGAAATGGAGGATAAGGGCAGGGACAAGGACAATCAAATATCACATGCTCATCTTTGTTTATAATATCTGTAATATCGCCACATTCATTTTTCTAGCTTCCTAGAGTCCTGGTGTGGCGCTGTGGTTTAATGTGCCAGACTGCAAAGCCGTTTGAATTGCAAGGTTGGTGGTTCAAGCTCACCAGCTGCTCCTTGGAAACCCTATACATGGTCGCTGTAGGTCAGAATCGAATTGACGACACTTAACAACTTTGTAATTTTGGAAATCAACAGTCTTAAAGATGACAATTTGAGTATCAACAGGGATAGTAACTGCTTGAATTGAAACATCAAAAATCTAAACCCATATATTCAGAATGATGCTAAAAAATTTCAGTGGTTACTGTTGGGATGCTGTTAAACCAGTGCTAGCCTTAGTTTGAAAGTCAGTATATTTGGGGCAAGGGACAAGCATTTATTCTGTACCTAGGTGAGCTGACTCCTGGATAGGATAATGGGAGCATTCTCAAGGAATGGAGAAGTCAGAGACCACCATTTTTCAGAGATTTAGCAGATCTACACCCTGAACGTCAGCAGCTTCTGATAAAAGAACATCTGCCATCCCCAGACATTACTGGCCAAAGGTGACCAGAGTACAGTTCTTCATAGGGATAAGGTCAGCCAAATCCACACAGGGCTGGGTACTGTCGTCAGTGGAAATTTAAAGAGGCAGAAGGACATTGGAACCAACTACGATTGGATCCTGATTGGTACACACTAAGAACAGAATTGGACATGATAATTTGAAGTTTTAACACTGGGTATTCAGTACCAGGATCAGCACTGAACTCTGAACCATAGGTTCAAAACCCACCAGCTCTATACAGGGTTGCTGAGTCGAATCTGACTTGACTGCACTTCACAACATTCAGTACTAAGGAATTATTAAGCATAGTAATGATAATTGCATTATGAGAGGAGTGTTATGGACTGAATTATGACCAACCTCTCCCCCGTGCCCCCAAATACAGTAAATACTAACATCTATGCTGTTAAGGAGCTCTGGTAGTGTAGTGGTTACAAGTCAGGCTGCTAACTTCAAGGTCAGCAGTTTGAAACAACCAGTTCTGCAGCATAAAGATGAGGCTTTCTGCTCCCATAAAGAATTACAGTCTTGGAAACCCTTTGCCTATTACAATCCCGTTTGGGAATAGGTTGCCTATTAATGGGCAGTGTGTTTTAACCTTTTTTTTGAGATATAAAAGAACCACATGAAGATCACCCAGGAGCAGCATCTCAAAAAAACCTTCCTCCAGAACTGACAAAGCCTTCCCCTAGAGCTGGACCTGATTTCAGACTTCTAGCTTCCTGTTGTTAAGTGGGGATCAGTGCCACTCATAGTGACCTTCTATAGGGTTTCCAAGGAGCGGCTGGTGGGTTTGAACAGCACCACACCAGGAGTCCTAGACTGACATTTGTTAAAACCACCTACTTGTATTTCTAGTATAACAGCCTGAGGTGTGGCCCTGTGGGATAATGCACTGGACGGCAAGGTCGGTGGTTCCAGCTAACCAGCCGCTCCTTGGAAACCCTATATAGGGTACCTACGAGTTGGAACCAACTCCATGGCACCTTACAACAACAGATAACTGAGAAAGGAATCTCTTTTAGAACAATAATTCTCAACCACCTGAGATTTTGCCTCTTCCCACCCTGCCTACCTCCCTTGAGTCCAGGGGTCGGGCGCTGTAGGATAAACACTGTACTGTTAATCCTAATGTGGGTCTCCAGTCACTCACCAGTCGCTCCTCAGAAACCCTATACAGGGTCGCTATAAGTCAGAACAACTCAACAGTACTTTCTAACACCACCACCCCATCTCCCAGGGGGAACCTAGAAATGTCTGGAGGCAGTTTTGGTTGTCACAACTTTTGGAAAGGGGGCTACTGGCATTTCGTGTGTGAGGCCGTTACGACGCTAAACACCCCACAACGGAAAATGAATGGGTGCGAAAAGGCCAGTGCTGCAGTTGGGAGAGCCTGTTTTGGAGCTACGGAGGGAATACGATTTGGTTAAAAGTATGGAGGCCCCAGGATGGAGTGGGGTGAGTGCAGACCACGACTAGCAAGGAGGGGCTACTGTGAGAAGCTGGGTGAAGGGCTTGCGGGATTCAATTTACTCTGCGTTTAGAATCTGATTTCTTTAAGGGCCTGTGTCCTCTTGGCCACAGCAGAGATCCCTGCCTCCGGACAGTTCAGGTGGGAGAGCGCAACTCAGAGCTGGAGAGGGACGTGGGTCCATGGCTTGGCAGCTTTCTGACTGCCCTAGCCCCTACGCAAACCCAGGTCACTGACAGTCGAAAGCATATGGACGCGAGCTCGGGATCCAGCTCGCCCTCTGCGATACGTCCTTCCAGGTACTGCGTCAACACGCGGCGATTCTGCGCAGGCGTGGCCACGCTCGTGGGGGCGAGCAAGTCAGCTCTATCCCGGGCACTCTGCGCAGATGCGGCCCTGCCCACAATCTTGGGGGCGGACCCCGAAGGTCCACCCCGGCGTCCTTACGCAGGTGCGGCCCCGCCCACTGCTGCACGACCTCCCGAAGCTCGCTGTACCGCTAACAACCATGGCAGCCGTCAGGACTGTGGTGTCGCCGTGTTTGGCTACGGCCTCCGTTCTTGCGCAGCTCCCCGGCCGCCTGCGGCTTCTGCCTCCGGGCAGGTGGGCGATCTCCCCGCGCGCGGCCCTTCACGGCTCCACGCCGCGCTCCGGGGCCAGGGTCGCGCTGGTGAGTGGATGGTCCCGGCGGGCTATCGGCCAGAGAGAAGGTCGCAGGGTGGGTTCGGGCTCGCGGGAAACGGGAGTGCGTACCCCGCGTGACGCCTCTTTCTCCCCAGGTTTTGTCTGGATGCGGCGTCTACGACGGGACCGAGATCCACGAGGCCTCAGCGTAAGCCTTAGGGACACAGTCCTCGTTCCCGCCCGAGCCCTTGGGGGGGGTCTTTTCTCCTGAAACAGTTCGCCATTTAGAGAAAGTTTGCATTTTTAATACTTTTTCACGGATTAAAAGGACAGGTCAACCTGCAAAACGACACAACGTTAAAAAAAAAAAAATGTGTCCTGTGCAAAACGGAAGCAAAGGAAATTGAAAACACACTGTGATCTGTGTCCCTAGTAGTCCCCGGGTGGCTCAAATAGTGAAGCGCTTGGGTACTGGATTGGTGATTTAAATTTCCCAAGAAAGGCCTCGGGTCTACTTCTGATCTCCGCCTTGAAAACCCCGTGGAACATAGTTCTACCCTGCACACATGGGTCAGTTACTGAGTTGTCATCAGTTTGGTGGCAGCTAGCAACAGTCCCTCAGAGATGATTACTGAGTATTTTCTGCCTGCTGTTTTTCAGTACACGTTTCCCATGCAGTCATGTCACACCTCGTGTGCCCTGGAAATATTTTTGCTACAATATCTGGACTTGTTCCTATGCCATTAAATACTGGCAATGTGGTTTTTCATTTTGCGTTGTAACTCATGATCATTGAGCTCAAGAGTTTGAATTTGACTTGTAATTAAAATAATTTTTTAAAAGTTTTAGTTTTAAACTTTTTATTGTGAATCGAGTGAATGTTTACAGAGCAGATGGTCAGTTTTGCATTCAACAAATCACACACTTCATTCCATCTCATTGATTGCAATCCCCTTGGATGTAACACCACATGTGCCACTTTCGTCTCTTTGTATCTTTCCCATTTCTGTTCTTCCTTTCCCAGTCCTTCTGAATTTTGTCGTTGGATAATTGCTGCCGTTTTGATCTTGATTGGTTGACCATTCTCTGGTGTGTGTACCTTATTAATGTTGTTGTTCTTCCTCTATAGCTATCTATTGCTTGGCTGAAAATTGAGCCATGGGGGTGACTAAGGACCTCGGGGTATCATCAATTTCTGTCTGACCAGAAAGCCTGGCCTTTTTATGATTTTGGATTTTGTTCCACATGTTCTTCCACTGTATCCCACACCTTGCTATGTGATTCTTTTCAGAGCAGTTAGTAGTAGAAGCTGGGCACTATCTAGTTCTTCTGATCTCAGGGACTCCTGTGGTCCATTGGACTAATTGGTTCTAAACATTTTCAATTTTCATCACTCTTTCCTCTAGACAGGGAGAGACAAATAAGTGTACTTTAGCTTGCTGCTCATGAGTTTTTAATCCCAGTTGCTGTTCAACCAAAGTAGGGTATAAAACCTGACTTAATTTTATTTATTTTCACTTTTCATTGTGAATTGAGTGAAGGTTCACAGAGCCAATCATCAGTTTGACAGTCAACAAATCATATACTTTGTTTCATTACAATGATTTCAATATCCTCATGGACCATCAGTTGATAGTATTTACCTCTCTTCAGTTTTAACTCTTGCATTCCTCCCTGTGTCTTCTCCTACTGTCTTTCCTTTGTCACCCTCCCTTTTGTATATTGCCTTCCCTGTCAGCCAAGTTAACATGTTGACTTAATTTTAAAAGTATCTGAGCGTGTCCAGTAGGTTGCCCAGGTGACCAGCTTACAGTGTTCCCCAAGTAGTTCAGAATAAATTGGAGAGAGGAGAGTTAGGTGTCCTTTAGGGAATGTACTTGCAGTACCATTGTACTTCCTGTCCAGGAAGTTCAGGCCCTAATTGGTGCCCAGGCGCCTGAGGCTGGTGGCTCTACACAATAATGGCACTCTCCCCCCCATCAGCAGTGTGGCCCATGTGAGTGCTGGTGACACCACACAACAGTGAGTGTCACAGTGGCCTAAGGTAGTAGGAAGCAAAGAGCCAAAGGTGAGTTTCCTGGTGTGGGCTTGGGAAGGAGTGGAGGAAGAAGGGCATGGCTTGATGGCTTGACACCCTCCAGGCAGACATGTCAGGAAATGTCTGTGATGTCATGTAGCAGAACCAGGACACCTAGGCCAGATCCTAACTGCCAAGTCCTTACTGGAATCTTAGCAAGTTCTTCCACTCCCAGCTCTCAGTCTCCTCATCTGGGAATGGAACTACAGCGCCGTCTCAAGGCAGTGGGCAGTGAGTGGTCACACAGTGTTGCTTGGTACAGAGCAAGCTCTTAGTCAGTGCCTGCTGTTGTCATCACTAGAGACTCCCTTGGGCAGGGGGACTCCTTCCTGATCCTCTCATGTAGTCTTTCTCTCCCACCCCCCACCCCCGCCCCAAGGAAAAGTTGGGGAGAACTGAGCACTGAGCCTACGAAGCTTGTTAGCTGCTGTCAACTTGGCCCTGACTCAAGATGCCCCCATGCACAGTGGAGTGGAACACTGTGGTCCTGTGTCGTTCCATGATAGGTTGTGGTTTGGATTGTTGTGATCCCATAAGGTTTTCATTGGCCGACCTTTGGAGAAATAGATTTTCAAGCCTTTTTTCCTAATCTCTCAGCCTGGAAGCTCCAGTGAAACCTATTCAGCATAGCACCGCATAAACCTCCGCTGACAGACAGGTAGTGGCTACACATGAGGTGCATTGGACGGGATTGAACAGGGTTTCCCATGGGGAGGGTGAGAATTCAACCACAGAACCCTGTTGCTTGGTTGTCAAGCCTGCAGCTGCTGCCTCCTCACCCATGTAGTGCTCATTGGGAGGTGCTCACCTGTAGAGGACTGTAGGGGTTTGGCCTGTGAGAGGTCAGACTAGCCCCACTCACAGCCATCGGAAGTGGAGTCACAACCTGCCTTGGTACCAGCTTTGTCGCTCTGTGACGTGAGCAGGTCTATATCCCCTTTGTATGCTGAGATTTTTTGGGTACTTGTTAGCATGTGATTCTGTCTAGATCTCAGGTTGACAGTGAATGGGATTGATGAGTATTTGGGTTGCTGGCTTTAATGGCACTTAACTGAAATCCTGTCTTTGAAAATGATTAACATAACATTTCTGGGTTGGACATGTTGCTTGTTTTTTTTAAGTGACTCGATTTTTCAAATTTATTCAGATGGTAGAGCTGGGATTTCATAGCATGTCAGTGGCTTCCAAAGCCCACTACTCCCCTATTCCACCATTATAGAATGCTTCTTTAACGTGAGGGGATCAACAATGACTTTTTTTTTTTTTTTTAAATAAAACATTTTAGTGTGCATTGGATGAAGGTTTACAGAGAGCAGATGGTAGTTTTCCATTCAACAGCTCATACAGGTTTTGTTTGATGTCATTGATAGCAGTCCTCTCAATGAACCATCACTTAGCCTACTTCCTCCCTGTGGTTCCCATCTCTAGTCCTCCCTTCCTAACCTTACAGAGATTTGTTCTTGGAAAATGCGCTGTTACCTCCCTAGTGTTATCGTTCCCTTTATAGATTTGTCTGTTATTTGGTGGAAATTGAGCCATGAGGTAAATTCAGTTCAGACCTGAAGGGAGACTAAAGGTCATAGGCCGCAGGGTTCACTTTTGTGACAAATATTCCTGGTCTTGTTTGTGAATTTTGAGTTTTTCTCACCCTTTTCTCCCACTCTAGCCGGAACCTTCTAATGAAATCCCTTATAGAACAGATGAGAATGATAGCTGGACACCATCTAGAGTCAGGGTTGTGGAGACTGCTATTCCTGTGGTCTGTTAGTCCATTGGACTAATTCTTGGTCGGACATGTTTTAAAGCCATGTTTTTGGTCCATGTGCAGGATCCTGGTCCACCTGAGCCGCGGGGGTGCTGATGTTCAGATCTTTGCCCCGAATGCACCACAGATGCATGTGATTGACCACACAAAGGGGCAGCCTTCGGAGGGAGAGACCAGGTGAGTCACCCGTCCTGTCCTTGGCTGTGATGAATGGGCAGGATGGAGATTTGTTGAGAAGCTGGTCTGGAGTGCAGCCTGCACAGAGCAGCCTAGTCAGGTTGCTCTGGAGCCTGGGGTGAATCTGTGCGTCCCCATGAGCCGGTGCCATGGACGGCACAGATGACTTCTCATCTAGCATTTGTCTGAAAGGTGAGGTGAGGTTGAGCTGGTTGCCTCCCATGGAGCGCAGCTATCACACCCTCCGATCAGGGCTTGTAGTGCTTCCTGGCTGCCCCTCTCCATCAGTGTCTGCCCCACCGGTCCTTATACCCTTCCCAGAGTGTTGCTCTCCTGCTGAGTGCTGCAGACTGTCGCAGGCGCCATGTCGGTGTCTTCCCTCTGGGTGCAGACAATGCGTGGAATGATGGGAAAGAAGACACTGAAGTGTTAACCTCATCCCTGGCTCCAGCCCCTCTCTCCTCCCTCACCCCCAGTTAAAAGCCAAACCTGCCCCCTTTGCTCCACATGCCCTGCGTGGTGGTAGCTTCCTATGGTTGCCAGTCTGTAAGTTGTTTCATTCACCGTGCATCGTAGTGTCAGAACCTTTTGTTAGCTATGTAACTGATTCCCTGAACTAAATTCTGTCAGCTATAAACATGTGGAGTCTTTAAGTTTCATTGCCTAGGCCCTGGCAGAGGCAGAGAGGTTCATAAGAATTAACTGCAGGTCCTGAAATGCAATTCTAAAAGAATTCCAAAAACTGTTTCAGCCTAACATGGTTGGTACAGTAAGTGCAGCACCTTTCTTGGCAGTGACTTTGAACTCTGCTTCAGAGACACAAGTCCCCTCAGGTATGAACTTTGCTCCCTAAGCCAAAATCTTTGTGGAGAATATGTGTCTGTGCCTTTCAGTGGGAACAAGACTCTAGTCCCCTGCTTCCTCTTTACATCTTCCGTCTGTTCCCTGAACCGTTCTGTCCTTCCAGGAATGTTCTGACAGAATCAGCAAGGATTGCACGCGGCAAGATCACTGACCTGGCCAAGCTCCGTGCCGCTGACCATGATGCTGCCATCTTCCCGGGAGGATTTGGAGCAGCCAAAAACTTGTGCGTGTTTTGTACTTTGGGGTTCTTTGCTTTTTGTGAGGTGTGATAGATGAAACAACAACATGAGGGGCCTTTAGCGTCCAAACAATGTGTGCCCCTGCCATTAACGAGAAGACCACTTTAGATGTAGGGGCTCACTAGCATTTCTGCAGGACGTAAGTGTTTCTCACTGTTTGTCAAGTCTCTAAGGGGCACATCTCATCATTGATTGACACAGTCAATGGACCCCATTGTCACTGAGTACCCTGCACCACGTCATAGTCACCTCAAGCATGTTTGTACCTGGAAAACATCAGCTGTTCTGGAGAGCCCTGCACACACAAAGCTGCTTTTCCTGTTGACATGTTTTGCATGAGCTTCTTTGGAAGGAGTCGGGAGTCCTTCCTCCTTTTTGGTTTGTTATCTGGGCCGCAGTTGCTGGGACATGAGCTTGGGAGGTGACAGCACATCCTGCTGAGAGGTTCTCTGGGTTTCAGATCCCCCTTGATTGGCTCTGATGTCTCATTTCTGTCTCACGAAAGCACAGTTGGTATGGCTTCACTGTCCAGGGGCAGTCCCAGTCTGAGGGAGCTGAGGGTCTGTCTCCAGAAACGGACTTTTTAGTCTTGCCACATCTCTGGGATCATTAGCCTCAGCTGTTATCCTTCAGAAGGACAGGAAGCTGCCCATATGTTTGAAAGTTGTCTGAATCTGTTTGAGTGTGTGCTGAAGTGTAGTGAGTATCTGGATGGAAATGCAGCAGGGGGTCGAGCAATTCCCCTGCCTGTGGATAAGACTTCCCTGTCCCAGAGCAGGGTCTGGACCATATGTTCCAGGGTGGATTTTTGCTCCAGGGTCTCTGATAGGAGATGATCCCAGCAGAATCCTTGTGCTTAACCTGCCCACCAGGCTGCTTTTGAGTCCTGGGAATCTGCAGTTTTGATTATGGGTGTCCCTCCTCCCCTTCTGACTCCTGTCCTCCTTCCCTCATTTTTCCCATTTTGTTTTCCATCCCAGCATCCCTTCCTCATGGTCAGCATCCTTGACTCACTTGGTTGTTCCTCGATGTTGATGTGCTGATAACAGATTATTCTTTAAAGGTTACTCATAACCTCCCCATCCTAAATTTAGGCCACCCTCTCGGCTCTTCTGTTTTTGACTCTGGAAGCCCCCTGACTTTCTTGACTTGGTGCCATTTTGGAACTTCTCAGGTCTCCGGGCTGCGCCCCCTCACTGGTTCATCTCCTGTTTGTGGCTCACCCTTTTTGTGCCCCTAGGATTTTTATCTCTGCCTGTGGCTTCAGCTATCAATTCACAGAACTTTCACACCTAAATCTCAAGCAGCCATTCTTTGACGTGCATTTCAGCTGCCTGCTTGAATTTTGCCTCTGGCTAACTGCTAACTTGTTAATATATAAACCGCCATTTTGTAAACTGGTCTCATCTTCCTTCATGCTGCCCTCAATTGGCCTGTTGGCAAATTGCCTTTGTCACCCCAGCCTGCAGTAGCACAGTACTCTCCCGAGCTGTCTGTGGGGCCTCCCAGCTCTGGGGTTCCTGCACCCAGAGGCTTCTGATCCCATCCCTTCCTCACTCTGGAACCTTGAGCTCCCCCTGCCTGTGGGGTTTGGAATGGATTTCTCTCTCTGGGTTTGCTATTGTTGTAAAGTGCTCTTGAGTTGGTTCCAACTCGTAATGACCCTGTATAGGGTTTCTGAGGCTGTAAATCTTTATGGGAACATAACGCCTCATCTTTGTCTCATGGAGCGACTGGTGGGCTTGAACCATGGACCTTGTGGTTAGCAGCCATGTGCTTATCCTAAAGTACCACCAGGGCTCCTGTCTGGGTTTGAACGCTCCTTTTTCCAGTTCCTGTCAGTGTTCTTGCTCTTCTCTTCTGCCTGGGTAGTGGTTTCAGCCCTGAATGGAAACCGTCTTAACAAATTAATTGTACCTGACATTTTTTCCAGTACTTTCCCCAGGTCGTCTTCATCTTCACAGACTCCTGGGCGGGGAATAGGTAGAGAGTAACTACATCTGCTCATTTTTACTTCTAAAAGGTTAGATTCCAGGATCAGGTTTTTATCTTGGAAACAGGAGTCCTATTCGCAGGTGTCACCCTTACCTCTAACCTCTGGCAACTCCCCTGTTGAGTGGAAAGGCAGTCTAAAAACTTGATTAGGGCAGTGTCTCCCCAGCTTGGCTGACAATTAGCATCGTATTAACTTAAAGTTTAAGCACAGACTTGATACGAATTGAGGTTATTTGTCTTGGTGAGTTGTATCCTGGCAGTAAGTGAGCTAGCTGGCCTCAGATCTGAGCAGCTGAGCTTTTGTTCCTGTCTGGGCCTGGGGGAAAGCTCTCTTCCTGGCTTGCTAGCCTCATCCTAGGTGAACTTTCTAGAAGAAAGACAGCTCTTAATGGACCAGTCCTCTGCTGAGCTCCTATTATTACCCTCTAGGGCAGGCTTTCTCTGGGTAGCAGTTGTTGATGGTATTTGTGTGTGTGTGTGGTTATGTGATAATGCAAGTGGTGACAGATTTATTGTGGAAATTCAGTTTATCTTCGTCTGATCCTCAGACTCCCTATCTGGCCACTGTTAACCAGTTTCTTGTGTGTATTTCAGAGAGATTCTGTGTACATGGGTAGGTTACAAATTTAACCAAATGGTAGCATCTTAAACTCACTGTCCTGTACTTTGTATTGGCCTGAGCCTCTTAGTGATGCCAGAACACAGTGACCACGAGTTGGGGGCTTTAAAGAACAGAAGTGTCTTGTTTTATAGTTCCAGAGGCTAGAAGTCTGAGTCATTGTCTTGGTTGTGTCGATTCCGTCTATGGCCACCTAATTTCTGGTGTCTGCTGGCAATCCTTGGCATCCCTGGACTTGCAGGTGCATCTGTCTCCACCGTGTCACGTGGCATCTTTCTTCTCCCTGTTTGTGTCTCTCTGGCTATTCTCTGTTTATACAACACCACTCAGAAGGGATTAAGGAGCACTGGTAGCAAAGTGGGTTGCTAACTACAAAGTGAGCAGTTAGAGTCCACCAGCAACTTAGTGGAAGAAAGATGAGGCTTTTTGCTCCCATGAAGATTTACAGGCTTGGAAACTTTATATAGGGTTGCTTTGAGTCTGAATTGATTCCACAGCACACAACCACCACTACCACTCAGAAGGAATTAGATTTAGGACCCACTCTGCTTCAGATGACACAACCTTACTTGCAGGAAGCAAAGAAGTACTTAATAAACATCAAATACTACAGCCTTCAGTGGTTTGCACCGCCATGTAAAGAATATGAATGTTTTCTCACAACTGAACCAGTAAATAATATCATGATAAATGGAAAAAATATTGAAGTTGTCAAAGATTTCACATTACTTGTATCCACATTTAACATTCATGGAAACAGATGTTAAGAAATCAAATGACATATTACATTAGGCAAATTTACTGCAAAAAAACCTTTTTAAAGTGTTAAAGAGCACAGATTTCTAGCAAAATGGCTGGCTAGGCAGGCACACTAGAGGGACTCTTTACAACAAAGATATGGGAGACAAAATACAACAGACACAGATGAAAATTCTGCACCTCTCTAACCTGAACTTCAAGAAGAAAGGTTAGAGGGGTGGATGTAGCGCTTACTTGAGGAGAGGCCAAGGAGGGATTGTGAGAGAGGAAAACTGACTGGTGAACTGCTGACCAGATGCAGCTGGATCCTCTTCTGAGCAGCTTTGGCAGCAGAGGGAGGCCTGGCAGAGTAGATTTGCGTGGGTAAAAGAAAAGGTGTGATTTGTTCTTTTCCCTCATGCTCCCCTGGTGACCAGAAGTGTGGACAGCTCCTACTTTTATCCACCCCCAGTGCTGACTCTGTTCTCTGGGAATTTGGAGCTACATGATTGGGAGCCACACCAGCATGAGATGGGGGCTGGCTGCACTCTTGGTGTACTGCTTTTGTGCCTGGATTCAAGTAGGCTTAGCTCCAGAACTATAAAACCCACAGTGTCACCAGACTAGCCTTTAACTAGTAATATTGCCTCCAGCTTCCCTGTGGTCCTAACAGACAGTGCAACCAGCTCCATCAAGGGCCCCTATTAACTACTTCCAGATTGAGGGGCCTGAACATAGATAACACCAAGGTCAATAGGAACTTCATATAGGACCAGGAACGCTGCTGTCACATCCTTACCACAAGCACCTCATGAGTTCCTTGAATTTCAGGAACCCCCAGAGATTACTCCTCTCCTGATCCTGCATTGTTTGTTTTTACAAATACAACAACTTCACAATATGCCAATGACAACAGACATTTGTAGCTCCCACAAACAAACGAGAATAGCTCAGACAAATGACCAAGATGCTGAGCCAGAAAATGTTTCTGAAGAAGAAAATGTAATGGAGCAAACTGAAAAAGAATTCAAAAGAATAATAATTGGGTACCTTCAGTGGCTCAATAGAACGCTAAAGGACAAGCAAGGAGAACACAATGAAACTTTTAGAAGAATTCGGGAAAACACTACAAGAACAGAAAGACAAAGTAAATGCAAATTTTGAAACAGTACAAAACCTGTAATTAGAAATCCAGAAGATTAATACTAAGATCTCAGAAATGGATAATACATTGAAAGGGCAAAGGAGTAGATGTGAAACAAGGGAAGCTCAAAATTAGTGACCTTGAAGAGAAACCTCTTAATACTAGTATGCTAGAAGAACATTCAGAAAAAAAAAAAAAGAAAAATCTGAAGAGAGCCTAAGAGTTATATAGGATATCATGAAAAGGAACAACTTCTGGGTAATAGGAATTCCAGAACAAAGAGACAACCATGGAGAAAATCGTCTTAACAGTTGTTGGAAGAAAACTTCCCTGACATCATGAAAGATGAGAAGATAAGCATACAAGAAGCAGAATGAACCCCAAACAGGATAGATCCCAAAAGAAAACTACCAAGACATATCATAATCAAACTTTCCAAGATTAAAGACAAGAAAAGATCAGCTCAGGAAAAATGAAAAGTTTCCCACAAACGAGAGACAATAAGACTCTGATTTCTTAGCAGAAACCATGCAGGCAAGAAGGCAATGGGATGACATTTACAAAACTCAGAAAGAAAAAAAATTATCAACTAAGAATCATACCCAGCAAAGCTGTCCCTCAAATACTACAACAAAATTAGGACATTTCTTGATAAACAGAAATTAAAGGAATTTGCATTGACCAGACCAACTTTACAAAAAATGCTAAAGGATGTTCTTTGGACTAAAAACCAACAATAGCAAACAACCTGAGATTACCATATGTGATAACACCACCCAGACCTCACCCCACATATAAAAGTATTTAAAGTAAAACAAACCTATGAGACTGAAAATAGGGACTCAGATATCAATGTATAGTGAAGACAACTTCAAAGCAAAAAGAGGTAATAGTGTAGATACAGAACTTCCAAATGGTAAGGAAGTCAAGTAGATTTCAGGACAAAACAGATTGTTATTTTAAGCAGGGGAAAAAAATTAATAAATTTCAGGATAACTTCAAAGACAATGAATACACCCATACATCAAAATAAAAAAAGAGGAAAATCAGAAGAAAGATTTAGCAAACATTAACACAACAGAAATGAGAATGACAATAAAACCTACAAATGAACTCAGCATAGAAAATTATGTGGAACAAAGAACTTAGCAGCACCACAAAACCCAGAAAAATGACATAAATGCATACCTATTGAAGGAGCTCTGGTAGCGTAGTGGTTATGAATCGGGCTGCGAACCGCAAGGTCAGCAGTTCGAAACTACCAGCTGTTCCATGGGAGAAAGATGAGGCTTTCTGCTCCTGTAAAGATTTACAGCCTCAGAAACCCTGTACAGGGTCACTATGAGTCAGAACCGACTTGACGGCACCTAACAACAACAATAACAACTTTAATTGTGTTTATATAATTCTTTTTGGAACTCCTTTTTGTGCTTTCTTACCTGTTCTCCTGCATTTTGACTCTCTATGTGCATACGTAAAGCTTTGTCTTGGTGTGGGGGTGGGGCAGACTGAAGCCCTTCTTGCCCTCAGTTCTCCCTCCTGTGCCCCACTTCCTGTGCTTTCCTGCAGTCAGTGACACCTGCACACAGGTGCCGGTCTGTGTGCATTCCCGTGTCTCACGTGTGTAGGTCAGCCCTGGAGGGGGAGGGGAGGGGAGGGAACTGAAGCCTGTGTGTGGAGGGCCGGGTGGCAGTGCCTCTGACAAGGCTTTTCTCTCCTGGCCACTGGGAAGAGGGGCTGGAGCAGTGTGTGTAGGTGACCTGGCCGTGGCACTCTCTGAGGGGGCTTTTCTCGTGGCAGGAGCACGTTTGCTGTGGACGGGAAGGACTGCAAAGTCAACAGTGATGTGGAACGTGTCCTGAAGGAATTTCATGGTGCTGGGAAGCCCATCGGGTGTGTATGCCCTGGGGTCTGATGAGGTTGGGTGTTGAGGTCAGGCAACATTGGAGGGAGGATGTGGCCTGAGGACCAATGGCCTGTGGTGCTAAGTTGGACCTGCTGCTCTGGGCTCCACCTCTCTGGGTTGTGTGCTTTTAAACCCCCACCCGACCCATTTTGTTTAACTGAGGGAATTTCACAAAACATCCCAGTTGCTTGCAGCCTAGAATATTTTGTCTTTGTGGGGGCACATCACTTTTCCTGATGACTCTCAGGAAAGCGGGGTGCTCCATCTCCCCATTGGCAGGCCTATGGTCTGCCAGCATCCCAGAGTGTCAGCAGCCAACCCCTTCTTGCCCAGCCCCCATGGGTCAGATTCCCTACATCATAGCCCTCACCCCTGGAGTGTCCTCACTTGCTCTGTCATGGGTCATCCGTTACAGGTGATGCGCACAGCATTCCAGGCTGCTGCCTCATCCACAGGGACCATGCACTGGGTGTCCTCCCATACACAGGTGGCACCTGCTCAGACTGATGCAGACTTACCCATGTGGGAGCCACCTTGTGACTCTCTAAGCCAGTGGGCCTGGGAAGGAGGCCTCTCAGCTTCTGTTCTCAGCTTCTCTCAGCTTCTCTAAGCTGGGCATGGTGCCCCTCCTGGGCTGAGCAGGGCACACACACACAAACACACACATATCAGCAGGACAGTGATGTTACTAGGCTGATACCTTCATCTGCTTCCTATTTGTATGATCACAAACCAAGAAAGAACAAGGCCATGCATGGTACAGTCCTCTGACTGTTCCCTGCTGGCCATGCTATCTTCTCCAAAACCTTTAGTTATCCCTTGCCACATCCTGCGCTGTTCCCCAAGCTTGGCTGGCTTGGTGTTCACCACAGTCCAGGCTCCCTGAGGCTGCACAGATGGCCTCAGCCTCTGGTCCCTGAGCTGGGGTTTGTCAGCATTGTGCAGCACCTCATATGTGCATCCCGGCACACAGATCCAGCCAGGTTGCTCAGGGACAGTGCTCGGGAAGGAGGCTGGGCCCTGCAGCAGCAGCCCACCAGTCGAGGAGAGGGAGCTGTGTTTCTTCCATCTCCCTGGAAGCACCGGTGCTGACCCTGCTGTTGTGACTGAGTGAAGCACGACCAGACATGACAATTTGAGCAGCCCAGGTGTGGAGGCACACCTTTCACCTGAGCTCATTTCTGTCCAGGGCTGACAGGGAGCAGAGTAGACAACGTCACTCTGTCCATCGGTCCGTAGGAAGGCTACATTAGGCTACTTGGGATGGTTTCCTTGCCTTTCACTTTCTAGAAGGGAGGATTTTTTTTTTTTTTTTTGGTTGCTGCGGCCATGCTGAGTTGACCTCTCAAAGTCACTGAACCTACCTGCCTTGTTTCACCCTCTCCCCACTCCCAGCCTGCAGGCAGTGTACAGGGGGAATTTGGAAGGGTTCTGCTGGTCCACTGAGTGTGTCAGGACCACAATGTCAGAACCAATTCTGTCTCCACAGCCTGATCTCGATGCAGCTGCCCCCACACCCATGGTCCCATCAGTGTGGTGGGCCCCTTGCTTGTTCCCGAATGTCTCTGATGGGCTTCAGGCCTTGACACAGGATATGCTCCTTCTTGTGATGTGTGTTCTCTCCATTGGGCCAGAGTCCAGGTCTCTGAATTCCAGTGATTTCAGTTGTTTGAGACTTCAATACGTAATTAATAGGGCTTCCTTCAGCAATTTCCACCTGGGCTTTTGAAAGGGTCATGACAATCAGATAAGACCCTCAGGCCTGTTTGAGACAAGCTAGGAGAAGGAATTGCTAGGGGAGGACAGGAGAGTCAGATTGCCTTGAGCAGGAGCAGGTGGGAAGTGGGGACTGCCAGGAGCTCCCTCTCCATTGCCCTGTCCACAGTTAATGTGCCATTTCTTGCCCTGTTGTCTAAGCACATGGATCAGGGCAGAACTGATCACCAGTGGGTTTCTGGTGACCATGGGTGACGGTTAACTGGATGAAAGGGGCTTAGGAGCTTCTTGTCACTGAGGGCAAAGTATAGAAGGGGCTTTGATGAGTAACAGCTACGGAACCTTCCTTGAGGCAGGCTTTCAGCCGCCTGCCCTCTGCTTCCATTGGCAGACCTGAGCTGGACAGACACCTACCTGTTCAGATGCCCCGCAGCAGATGTCCTGGCAGACCTGTGTGCTCCTCAAGGAACTCCCTGTTAGGAGAGACCTGGTGTCCTCTCTCTGTGTGTATGTGTGCCCTAAAGAAGGTCCCCTGGCTAACCACAGGGAACAAAGCTGTGGTTAGTGATTGCATTGTAACAGAACCCTCCAGAGCTTAGCTGGAGCTAAACACATGGCAGCTATTGCTGTTACTGCTTGATTCCTGGGAGTGGACTGAGGCCCTGGGGAGCTACTGTGGCTGTACTGGGTCCAGAATGGCCAGGAGGGCTCAGTGGACTGGCTGTGAGACCCCTACCTGCTCTGTGGCCCTCCTCCCTGTGGCAGTGCATTGCATACCTCAGTCTCCCCACATGGAGCTCAGAGGCCACAATACTCCTCCCACCACATTCCTGCTCTCACAGCCCAGGGCAGCCAGCCCCAATGGGATAAAGTGGGCCCTTCTGCTTGGAGAGACGTGGTCCTGTGAGTGCCTGTCCATCACCCATGTTAACCTGCTGACTTCTACCCCTTCTACCCCTTCCAGCCTGTGCTGCATCGCACCCGTCCTTGCAGCCAGAGTGCTGCGGGGTGTGGAGGTCACCGTGGGCCACGAGCAGGAGGAAGGTGGCAAGTGGCCTTACGCTGGTACTGCAGAGGCCATCAAAGCCCTGGGTGCCAGGCACTGTGTGAAGGACGTGACCATATCCTTTCTGGCAGCTGGGGGCACCAGGATCTGGTCTGGGCCGTCTTCTTGCTGACAGAGCTGGCCCTTGGTGCCCTCACAGTACAGCTGGTGCATGTGTCACAGACACATGCTTGGTTCTCCCGGGAGGGCTGTCACTTCTGTGCCGCTTCTGTGGCACTTGTTCAACGAGGGGTCCAACCAGCACCAATAAGTGGGGCCTTCACGATTGACATGCTGGTGCTGAGCTTGTGAAACCAGTGTCTGCCCATAAGATTGCTGGTTTCTCTCCTGCTCCAAGTGTATTTTCCTCAGTCAGGGTTCTTTTGAGAAACGACCAGTAAGATGCCAGGAGGCTTCAAAAGGTGCATGGAAAACTTGTATTTTAATTGTTTTACCACATACTTCTGCAGCCCCCTTGTATATTTAGAGAGAGAGACATAAGGAGATGTGAGAAGACATGAGACTCATTTACTTCAGGGCATGCTATTGTGAGGACTGGCACATAAAAGCCAGAGGTCAGGCAGCAGGCTGGAAACTCCTGCAGGCTTGTGTCCCAGGCTAGGTCAGGCAGTGTAAAGAGCATGGAGCAAGGGAGTTTTAGCAGGACGTGGAGTGTGATTTATAGTGTGGAGACAGCACACGCTCTTAGTTCTTCAAGCCTTCAGCGATCCGGTGAGGCCCGTCATAGAGATGGATCTGCTTTATTTAAGGCTTAGTCAGAATCTGGACCAGTGTTTTAGGAGCCCTGGTGGTACAGTGGGTTAAACACTGGCTTGCTTACCACTAGGTTGGCAGTTTTAACCCACCAGCCTCTCTGTGGGAGAAAGATGAGGCTGTCTGCTCCCACAAAGATTGACATCCTCAAAAACCTCATCAAGCAGTTCTTGTCTATCTTACAGGGTTGTTGTGAGTCAGAACCAGCACCACGGCAGTGGGTTGAGTGGTTGTTAGACCAGCATTTGACCAAGTTGACATGTTAACCATCACAGGATGCCGGTTGCCTAAAAAGTAGTATAAGCAGCTGGAAAACACGCCCCTGCTGCAAAGGAACCTGCCTGAGGGAGACTTTCTCCCAGTTTGGTGTGACGCTGAGGATAAGGTTAAAACTGGTCATTTGGGAACAGGGGCCCGGAGCTGAAATTTTCCCTCAGGTTCATGTTGTGAAGTGCAGTCAAGTTAGTTCTGACTCGTAGTGACCCTGTATAGGGGTTACCAAGGAGCAGCTTGGTGGATTTAAACAGCTGACCTTGTGATTCACAATCCAATGCTGATCCTGCAGCGCCACACCAGGAGTCCACGTTAGTTGACAGTTTCTTTCCATAACTTCTGCTCACGAAGCCCACGTGGACCAGAAAAACAAAGTGGTCACCACCCCCGCCTTCATGTGTGAGACTGCACTCCACCACATCCACGACGGGCTCGGGGCCATGGTGCGGAAGGTGCTAGAACTTGCCGGAAAGTGACCGCTCTTTACTATCTCTTCAGTTCCCCTGAACATGGCAAGAATATGTTTTGCTGCTTGAATATGTAGGTGTTAGAAACGACCTAGAGAAGGAGCCCTGTGGTCATGCTTGTGCCAAGATTTGTAGGAGTTGTCCTCTTCAGCTGGGCCTCATTTGCTTTCATTCTTAAGAGGGTGGCAGAGTTCACTGCCCAAGTGCGCAGCTGGCCACTCACTCTCGGAGCTGTGAGGAGCTGTCATGATTTGATTCACCATGTGCATCCACAATAAAGGTCTGAGCCAGCTTTTCTGTGAGGGGAGTAGGGGAGAGGGATACTATCCTACAGTCTTAGTTTAACTTGGTTCCTGATACTGTGTGTTTGAAAGAAAGTTACTTGAAGTTTGTAGGTCTAATAATAATAAGTTTGTATGTCTAAATAGCTTTGGTGGTGGCTGGAGATCCTGTTTGTGATCTGGTGTGGATCCTGATGAATACAGTGAGGGGATTTCTGCAGCAGACAGCCCCTTAGCCCAACAAATAAATTCCTTCCCCAAATGGAAACTTTTAGCTGTGACATTTCAGGCCTTCTGAAACTGGTAAATGAGGAATATAGTACGGTTTCTTTCTTGAAATGGTCTCAGTTCTCTTAATTCTCAGGAAGAAAGGGCAATTACAGATACTTAGTCTCCACAGCAGCACTGCCCATGGTGATTGTAAAGTTAATCCCTGGCCAGGAAACAGACCCTTAGAGGCGATGGATGAAGAAGGAAGAATAAAGTCTGTCATGCTAGCATCGCACATTTGTCTCATTCTCTTGTGCTCTCTGTCCTGGGGAAGACATGCCAAGGGTTGGGGGCCTTGTGCCCACACACCTATCACACCAGTGTGGAATACTCTCCCTTCTGGTCTGTCTGGTCATTGCGCAGAGAGGTCCTGCCCCACTACACTGGTACCCAGTGGCAGTGGATCCTGCAGGTGCAGAGTTCGGTTCTGTTTTTAAGCAAGGTGCTCTGTGTTGGTGCAGCCACATGGTTCAGTCCATCCACTTCAGCAGATTTTTCTTCCACACTTAAAACTGATGTCAGGCCCTGAGGTGAGCCTGGAGCTACAAAAGTGCACACAGACCCTACTCCTGTTTTGTGCTCCCCATTGCATTGGACTTTGTCTCACTGCCTCAGTCCCACTTCTTTTGTATAACTTTATAAAAACTAGAAGCCACTGCCATGGAGTCAGTTCAGACTCATAGCAAGCTTGTAGACTAGAGCAGAGCTGCCTCGTAGTTCACAAGGCTGTGCAACAGCCTTCTCCTGGGGAGCAGCTGGGGAGTTTGAACCACCAGCCTTTTGGTGATCAGCCAAGCTCCTTTATAAGATAATGTTATCAATCCAGCCTCTCGAATGAATGTCTCTAGGGCCCTTGGGAAGACTTCACAGAGCTTCCCAGGAGCCACAACTGTTCAGTGGCTGCCACTGGAGACCTAGGGAACCGCTGAAGTCCCCACACAGCTCCACCCCAGGGGTTTGTGCCCACTCAGTTTGGGTATTCTTAGACACGGTGGGAGCTTACCCATAAAGCCTTTTAAGTGTAACTAGCAATGCAGCCCTGGTGTGGCGCTATAGGAGAAACACTGGACTGCAAGGTCAATTTGAACTGAAAGGTGGCAGTTCAAACCCAGCAGTCTGTCCTTGGAAAATTCCCATTCAGCTTCGCTATGAGTTGGAACTGACTCAACAGCACTTAACCACCGCCACAAGCAGGAGTCCCTGGGTGGTGTACACACTTAA